CTTTCAATCCATGTACGTGGGATGTTTACATTTATTTGTCTTTATTTTCTTGCATTTTATTCTTTGCGGAGACAAGATGAAGAGGTAGTTCACAACCAACACTGTAACAGCTAGTACATGGCTACAGTACAAATACATTTCAATACAATGCAACTACCTCATAGGCCAGCTCCAGGAGGAACTGTAGAGAGGGGTAGTGGTTTTCCTAACTATTGCATTTCCAAATGTCCCTCTCCAGTTTATTGGCCTATGGAATAGTGCGTAGGTGCTCTTTCCTGAATCCAGCTGAGCTGCCTAGACTCTTGGTTCAGCCTTGCCAACATCAGACATGGATATGCTACCCCAAAGCCAAATCAGGTGCAAAACTGTGTTTTCTGAACAGGTACTATGGAATTGGGATAATGTTGCTTCTGCAGTTGTCTGTAAATTGAGAATTAGCTCAAGTGAAAATACACCTTTTGCTTAATGGAAAGGATAAGGAGTGACCCATTGCAATCTACCTGCCAGTGACAAGCAGGGTCAATACTTTTAGGAACAGTAGGATACCTGGGCAAGAGTAATTTGTAGCCAACTTCACACTCATGAGTTTCTTGAAGGTATTCTTATGCTGTATTAGCCTGGGCCCATACAAAAAAAGGGCAATAACCTTTTTTTTTTTTTTATGTCCATTTTAGTCACACACTCATTTATTTGTTTTCAGAGTGTTTGATGTGTCAGAGATGCCATAGGTTTTGTATGTACACCAACGACATTGTTCAATGTCAGTGTATACTAGAGATTTGGTGAGTATCCACACAGGAAATTAGTTTTTCAATTCTATCAGAAATATCAGAAGATTGAATGTACAGGAATTTGACCAGTTCAATGCTGGTCACATTTCTCCAATCATTAGAATGCCAGATAAGTCAGCTAAACTATTAGGCACAGACAAGTAATAGAGGTCTATAATGATCAGGCCTGATGTTAACTATAGAGTCCAGGTAAATTCTGTGAGTACTGTCTTAGTTCTCCCCTTTTGATTAGGCTCCTACAGTCTATTCTAAGATAAAATGCCAAGAGGTTGGGTTTAGTATATCTGCCATTCTTAGCTGTTTAGAAGTGAGGTCATGATGGAACCATCCATAAATTATGTAGCAACTCTGAGATCAGAGAAGAGTGCCTCATAAGAGGTAAGGTTCCAGGATCATGAAGTGATGAGATGTGAGAGATGAACCTCATTTGTCATTACAATGGCACTCTTATTTCCCATCTAACTTTATGTTTTTTTCAGGTTTGGCACAACTCTATTCCAGTTAGGTATTTTGGGTTGCAGAAGGACTTGGTGAAATTTGTGATGCATTCTGTTTCAACTAAAGTCAAATAAATACCTAGCAGTAGACATTCAAACTGAGTATACACTATGGCAGAGTTAGGGAAGCTATACTTTATACCCTATCAAAGACCTGCTAAAAATCATGCCACCACACCACTGAAGAATGACACACAGACTGATATCTTGATCTGGTCGCTAAGGGCCCAAAGCATTGGAGACAATAATAAAGCACTTATTGTAAGAAGAATTCTAAAAATGTCCCTCCAAAATTCCTGTCCCTTAATTATTCAATCAAACATTAATCTAGGTATTCCTGCAAAGGGACTTTGCAGATGTAATTAAGGTTGCTAATTGGTGTATATTAAAATAGAGAAATTATCCTGGGCACATTTTGTAATTCTAAGATAATCAGTAAAAGAAAAATTTAAAAACTACATAGTTGTCATGCCAATAAAGAAAGAAAATGGATTAAGAAAGAATGATCAGGCGCGGGACAAAGGGAAACGAGGCCGGAGCTGTGGGTGCTTTTTCTGCCTGCGGTGTCTCAGATTCATTCTTAAGGAACTGAGAACTTAATCTTCCAAAATGACAAAAAGACCATCTTATGCCCCACCTCCCACCCCAGCTCCTGCAACACAAATGCCCAGCACACCAGGGTTTGTGGGATACAATCCATACAGTCATCTTGCCTACAACAACTACAGGCTGGGACGGAACCCGGGCACCAACAGCCAGGTCTCGGCATCCTCTGGTATTACGATTCCAAAATCCCCAAACCCACCAGATAAATGGCTGATGCCCTACATGAGGTACAGCAGAAAGGTCTGGGGCCAAGTAAAACCTTCCAACCCTGACCTAAAGTTGTCGGAGATTGGCAAGATTATTGGTGGCATGTGGCGAGATCTCACTGATGAAGAAAAACAAGAATATTTAAACGAATACAAAGCAGAAAAGACAGAGTACAATGACTCTATGAAGGCCTATCATAATTTCCCTGCATACCTTGCTTACATAAATGCAAAAAGTCGTGCAGAAGCTGCTTTAGGGAAAGAAAGACAACAGAGAGAGTCTCGCATGGAGAAAGGAGAACCGTACATGAGCATGGAGAAAGGAGAACCGTACATGAGCATTCAGCCTGCTGAAGATCCAGATGATTATGATGATGGCTTCTCCATGAAGCATACAGCCACCACCCGTTTCCAGAGAAACCACCTCCTCATCAGTGAAATCCTTAGTGAGAGTGTGGTGCCAGACATCTGGCCAGTTGTCACAACAGCTAGAATGCAGGTCCTCAAATGACAGGTCCAGTCCTTAATGGTTCATCAGTGAAAACTAGAAGCTGAACTTCTTCAAACAGAGGAGCGACACCAGGAAAAGAAGAGGAAATTCCTGGAAAGCACAGATTCGTTTAACAATGAACTTAAAAGGTTGTGTGGTTTGAAAGTAGAAGTGGATATGGAAAAAATTGCCGCTGAAATTGCACAGGCAGAGGAACAGACTCGAAGGGCAGGAGGAAAGAGAGAAAGAAGCAGCAGAGCAGGCTGAATGCAGTTCCTGAGGAAGAGCAAGCTGCTAGCAAGACCAAGGAGAAGAAGGATGACGAGAGCATCCCGATGGAGACAGAGGAGACACACCTTGAAGAAGCTACGGAAAGCCAACAGAATGGTGAAGAAGGCACATCTACTCCTGAGGACAAGGAGAGCGGGCAGGAGGGGGTGGACAGTATGGCTGAGGAAGGGACCACTGACAGTAACACTGGCTCAGGGAGCAACAGGGCCACAGTGGAGAAGCCGCCCATAGACCCCACACTGGAAGACGAGAAGAAAGAATAAATGTTGCTTGTTTTATGTGTTCTAAATACCTTTTCAAATGAAAAAAAAAAAAAGTTTTTTGAGTTTAAAAAAAAAAAAAGAAAGCATGATCAATCCAAAGGATGGCAAGAAAGGAGAAAAACTGGCATAAAAGGGACAAGGCAAGCAGAAAGTCAATAGGAAGATGATACATTACAACCCAACTATATCAATAATTTCAAGTTGATTAAATTGCCCCCTTAAAATACAGAGATTATTAATATAATTGGAAATAAATATAAACTGAATTATGTACTTATTCTTTGAAATTAGTTGGAATATTTTAAGACCTAGGACATGATCATTTTGTTAATGTTTCATGAGTGGTTGGGAAGAATGGGTGTTCTCTATAGTTGATTTAGAATTGTATGAATGTTTAATAGGTCAGACTTATTTGAGTCATTCAATTATCTTATATTTTTATTAAATTTTGTCTGAATTTTGACCTGTCAATAATTATAAAAGGTGTGCTCAAATTTCCAACTCTGATGATGCTTTTGCCAATTTTCCCCTATATTCCTACAATTTTTGTTGATATATTTTTAGTATTCTTAGTTATATAAGTACATGTTTAGAATCAAATTGAGAAAATTGTTTTTTTGACATCTCCCCTCTTCATGCCTTCCATAATATTAATGATGTCAAATATTGTTAAATTAAAATTTAGTTCTAAGTTATTAGAAATACACATTATCATTGTTTCATTTGGTCAGATTTTCTTACATTTAAAAAAACTTTCTCAAGATATTTGATTACTATTACTTCCAATGTCATTTAACAGCATCTCCTATTTCCCTTATCATTTGGTTGTTTCTGTGAAATACCTTTCCAATATGGATCCTTATGTCAAACCTTCTTTGAACTTCTATACTTAAGAAAAACTTTTATGGACAGCCACATGCATAAGAATGAAACTGGACCTCTTTCTTACACATACACAAAAATAAACTCAAATGGATGAAAGACCTAAATGGAGATAGATATCCAACAAAATCCTACAGAAGACCACAGGCAGCAACCTCTTTCACCTCAGCCACAGCAACTTCTTGCTAGACACATCTTCAAAGGCAAGGGAAACACAAGCAAAAATGAACTATTGGGATTTCATCAAGATAAAAAGCTTCTTGCACAGCCAAGGAAACAGTCGGCAAAACTAAAAGGCAACCTATGGAATGGGAGAAGATATTTGCAAATGTCTTATCAGAAAAGTTAGTATCCAAAATCTATAAAGAACTCATCAAACTCAACACCCAAAAAACAAAAAATCCTTTTAGGAAATGGGCAGAAGACATGAACAGACATTTCTCCAAAGAAGACATACAAATGGCACATGAAAAAATGCTCCACATCACTAGTCATCAGGGAAATACAAATCAAAACCACAATGAGATACCACCTCAAACCTGTCAGAATGGCTAAAATTAACAAGTCAGGAAACAACAGCTGTTGGCGAGGATGCAGAGGAAGGGGAACCCTCCTACACTGCTGGTGGGAATGTAAACTGGTGCACTCTGGAAGACAGTATGGAGATTCCTCAAAAAGTGAAAAATAGAGCTACCCTATGACCCAGCAATTGCACTACTCGGTATTTATCCAAAAGATACAAACATAGTGATTTGAAGGGGCACCTACACCCTAATGTTTCTAGCAGCAATGTCTGCAACAGCCAAAACATGGAAAGAGCCCAGATGTCCACTGACAGATAAATGGATAAAAAAGATGTGAAATATATATATATATATATATATATATACACACACACACACACACATATTCCACTATATATAGGGGAATATTACTCGGCCATCAAAAAGAATGAAATCTTGCCATTTGCAACGATGTGGGTGGAACTAGAGACTATTAGGCAAAGCAAAATAAGTTAGGGAGACAAATACCATATGATTTCACTCAGATATGGAATTTAAGAAACAAAACATGAACATAGGGGAAGGGAAGGGAAAACAAGATGAAAACAGAGAGGGAGAAAAACCATAAGAGACTCTTAAGTATAGGAAACAAACTCAGGGTTTCTGGAGGGGAGGTGGGTGAGGGGATGGGGTCACTGGGTGATGGACATTTAGGAGGGCACTTGATGGAATGAGCACTGGGTGTTATATGCAACTGATGAATCACTAAATTCTACCTCTAAAACTAATAATACACTATATGTTAATTAAATTGAATTTAAATAAAAAATTAAAAAAATCATGTCCTGATATTTCAATAATATTTCAAAGTTCTTTTCAGTCAACACTTTAATAACCCACTGATTTCACGCATCCACTATGGCTCTTGCTGTCAGTCTGGCTCTTGTTCCTTGATAGGTGATCTCTTGTAGATTTCAGAATTTTCTATTCGCCGTCCTTTTCAATTTCAGATTTGTTTTTCCTTCAGTGCCCCATTTAACATATGGGTCATTTCTAAGGTCATTTTCTTATTTTTTAAATCAAGAGAAACTTTCCTATTATCCCTTTAACTATTTCCTTCTATTTTAATTTTTCTCTCCTGGAAATGCTATTATCTGGATAATGATAATGAGATAGATATTCTTCTATCTCAATTTTATTATTTTATTTTCTATTTTTTATTCTTTCCTGGGAGAGTTTGTCAAGCTGATATTACAAGTTGCTAATTCATTAAGTAGTATATAACCATCCTGCTCTTTTCCCATCTATTGTGATTTATTTCTTGTTCACTTGGTTCTTTTTAAAGATTATTTGTTACTGTTATATTCTGCAAATAACTTCATTTAGTTTTTGGGATAGCCAAACAATTTCAAAGTGAATTTATAAACATGCTTTTGACATATATTAAAGCAAAATTATAGTTAATGTGGGGTGTGGCTGTATTTTTTATGTTTTTACTATCATGTGGGCTAGGATCTATGAAAAAGAATGCCTGTAGACTCTAAAAATCAAAATGTTGTTGCTCCTCATAAAGGCAGAATGCAGTTAGGTCTAATTAAAGTAGTAAAAACTAGGGGCTGCAGGAAAACTAGTGTGTCAATAATAATTTGGGATATTAAAGATGATTGTTTGGAAGAGTCTATATTTGACAAGGGATTGTACTGGGGTCTTCTGCATTCAACAGCTGTCCCATAATGCCTTATCGAACCAACTTAAATTTATAAAAGTCATAGTGTTTGCCACGGTTTGTTTGTTTGTTTGTTTGTTTTTCAAATATAAGCATTTCACCTGTTTGGATGATATGTAAGTGCCATAGGAGGAGACTCATTGCTAGCAGTAACTTGAGCATTTTTATCTTTGTTCTTTCTCCTCGCTGAAACTAGAAATTACTTCAGAGATCGTTGGTCTAAGTACAAGACACAAACGAAAGCCTCAACCAGGCACCACTCTAATCTGAGAATTGAAAATGTCAGTCTTGGGCGCCTGGGTGGCTCAGTTGGTTAAGCGACTGCTTTCGGCTCAGGTCATGATACTGGAGTCCCCGGATCGAGTCCCACATCTCGGGCTCCCGTCTGCTTCTCCCTCTAACCCTCCCTCCTCTCATGTGCGCTCTCTCTCTCGTTCTCTCTCTCAAATAAATAATTAAAAAAAAGAAAGGAAAATATCAGTCTTTCCTTCCTTAACGATGAGCCCAATGAGTGTGGGTTTTGACAGTCTGTCTCGAGCTCTCCCTGGTCGGCCTACCGGCGCAGGGCGCAGGTTACCGAGATAAGCCACCTCCAGGGGCAGCAGGGGCAGCAGAGCGAGCGGAGAGCCCTCGGCTTTCCAGCGGCGCGGCCCGGCGCTTCCCTCTCCGGGTGCGCACCTGCGGCGCTCAGCGGTCCTGCGCGAGCTGCGCCTCCACCTTCCCGAACACTTCAACTGCTGTACAACGCCAACCCCGCTCCAAGACAGCGGAGCCATGTTCCTTCTTCTGGTCCTTCTCACCCGGCTTGAATTGCTGCACGCAGGCTCCGGTGAGTCCAGATACTTGTTACCGCTTGCCATCCAGGCTCGCGGGGGGAGGAGGGGACTGTGTTCGCTTAGGGGACTGTATTCTTTCGACCAGGCCCCAGGCCCAGACCTTATCCCAGCCCCGCGCTCTCCCTTACCCACTTTCTTATTGCCGTTCGCTTCAGCGTCGGTGGCCAAAAAAGCAGAGGCAGCCTCCAGGCAGAAAATCTTTTCACGTCTCTGGGCTGGTATTGGTCTGTAAAACGGACAAAAATGGAATAGTGGGGTCTTTTCCACATACAAAATTCTGCTATTCTAGAAATAATTGCATCGCCATAAAGAACCTATTTGTCAATGATTTCCTGATTTGGTGACTGCTGTCCTCCACCTCCTCTACTGAAAATTGGAAGATCACTCTTGTAGTCAGTATTCTGTATCTTTCCCTGCAAATGATCCCATTTTCTTCCTGTACCTGTGTTTCTCTTTTGCACACCTCTTTTACAATACCATGGTTTGTTATTCAGTATTACCGAGCCAAACGGTCCAACTGCCTAACCGGGGATCTCTCTCTCTGTCTCTTACTCTATGTGTGTGTGTCTGTCTGTGTGTAGAGATTGAGAGAGAGAGAGAAAATAAAGACTTGACATCTTGACAAGGGCCAAGAAATTTGTGGGTAAGGACGACCAGACCAGAAACACAGTGGAAAGGAAGGGTAGATACATAGATTATACCGAAAAATATTGGGTAATGTAGAGAAACAAATGAGGCATTGGATTTAAGAAATGGATAATGTAGGATTGTAGGTATCAAAATAACTTTGCTTATTTTTATTTTAGGTCCTCATAAAACATTTATGCAGACCACAGTTCCTGAGAAGATTTCACCATCTGATGCAAAAGGAAATCCAGAAAATAATGTAATTGGGAAATATTTTTATATCTTAAATTGTGTTAAGTTGCCTTTAATATCAAGACCAAAATTGCTGAATAGAGGCGGGAACAGAATTCTTGGAGGCAGAGCTGACAGCTGGAACTGGGTTCACAACAAGGAGCAATTTGAAGTGTAGGAATATGTGTGACTCTGTATGTGTGTGTTTCTGTTGAGGTGAAGGATTTTACGGATAGGATCCACCAGGGCCAGGATGAGGGAGAAGCAGACAAAGTGCTTGACTCAGGCAGAAAATTTAAGGGAATAGCAAAAAACGAATTCCCCCAGGACCAAGATAAAGGTATGGCCGGTGGGGTGAGTCAGGGTCAGACACTGTCTTTCTTTAAAACTTGATAACTTGTTCATCATGGATTTTTTTTTGCACTAATTTTGATTGTCTAAAATATTGTATTGAAATAGTATTCTTTTTGTTTTTTTGATTATTGAATTTTCTGGTCCCCTACTCCTAGGCCTCATGATTTCCTCCAGCTACTTGCCTGAGCTTTCAGAGTCCCTGAGGAGCTGAAAGATGATCTGTTAATTAGCTTGTAGGGGAGCCTGCGTATTATCCTTCTATAATTCCCCAGAAAAATCTACTTCTCACATGGTTCCTTCTACTATAGGATAATCTAATGCTAGTCATAATTATGTGTCTCCAAATTAATTTTGTTCTTTTTCGTGGTTTTTAGAAAACTTCCTTCTGTGTTTTACATAAGGATACACTGTATCAGGTTTCTCCTTCCCCATTACCCCTAGTTCTCTGAAGGTAACCTCTCCTCCCCATATTCTATTTCTTTACATTTTCTTCCTGTAGTAGCTGGGTTTTATTTACCACCCACACCCCAAACCCCACCCACCACCCACCAAGTGAATTCTTAGTCATGCAAAGTATGTGAGTGCTACTCCAGCTTTTTTTTTTTTCTGATTGGAAAGAAGGAGCTCCGCTGGACTTCTTGTTTAGTTTCCTTCTTCCTGAAATGAATAATACCAACCCTCTCTCTCTATTATTTATCACTGAGGAGATGATCTTTGAGTTCCCCACTTGTCCAATCTCTAGCATGTTTAAAAAGTCATTTAATAATATGAAATTTTAGTGTGTTTCTTTTAACTATAACAATTTTAAAAGCTTCCTTTAATATTTTTGCAACAGAAAATTATTCTTAATGTGGAATATGTTTGTATTTTAATATATTCAATATAATATGAGGGAGGACCTGCAAAAGTAAGAATGCCTAGGAGGCACATAGAGACCTCCCAGATTTAAGAAATAAAAACATGGGTACCTAATTAATTTGGAATTATTTCTAATTGCCTATGCATATGTACATAAAGATAAAAAAGAAGTATTGTGTGGGCATACTAAATAATTTTAAATACTAAAAATTATTTGTTGCTCATCTGAAACAAATTGTAAGTATTGTTGACTAAGAAAAGAGGTGGAATTGAAACATAAGAAAAGCATTTATTTGGGGTCTCAGAATTGCATTTCAAGAAGCACAGATTCAGTAGCAATCCAAATTGTGTCCCCGTAGGGAACAAAAAAAAAAAAGGGTTTTTAAAACAAAAGAGGGTGCTCCTATATGTTGTTGACAAAGAATTTTGGTTAGTGTTGGTGGCAGAAAACTAATCTTGGCTGAATATAATTGGTTGCTAAGACAATCACTAAGGAAAGTCTCTTCCTATAGCAAATGCTTGATCTGAGTTGTTGGAATATCTGCAGTTTGGCCCAGTTCACAGCTTTGGCCTAGTGCAAAAGTTCATGGTTCCACCCTGTGAAGACATGCATAAATCCCTTTTCCTTTATGGCCTCCTGGATCCATTTTAAAACCCCTTGACATAAGTGACTCCATTTCATTACACTTTCACAGTATCTAAATTATGTACCTCTTTCTTGAACTGTATTTCCCTGATGATTTGACTTATCAATTTAGATTTATCAATTTCTTGTTTTACAGAATTTGCGTATAAAACTCCTTGCAATTATTCCATTTATATTGTAACATAGTTTCTACAGTGGTCACATATAATTTATTTCATTCTTTTTCCCAACGAACATTTAGTGGTAAAAAAAAAACAACACTGGACATTAACATTGTGAAGTTAACAACTCTCATCATTGTTCTTAGCTTGCTTTTGCATTCTTCACCATTATGTTGTATTTCTTAATCAACAGTCTTTTAAAATGTTGTTCATTGGCAAAACCAGAATATTTTCATCAAATTTTATTGTCTTCTTCTTCAGCACTACACAGGATGACTCTACTTCTTCCCATGCTGGAAAACTATTTAGTAACATCCAGATAAAAGAACTGAATTCTTCAAGGTATTAAAATATTTCAAAAGATAGAGCAAGTGCCATACTAATTATCCACTTCAAGTTGGAATTTCTTTTCCTGTTCATAAGGAATGTTTACCCTTTTGAGAACAGACTTGACACCAGAGGGATACATTTTGAGGACAGGGCTCAATTCTTTCTTCAACACAATTTTATACAATGGAACATTTCAAAAACACTGCTCTTCTTCCAGTTTGCAAAATCCTATTGCTAAAGAGGTAACTCTGAAAAAGAAAGTCTTGTGTTCAGGGATTAGTGGCCTTTCAGAAGGGAGAGTATTTAGGTATGGACATGCTCTCAGCTGTGTTAATGTAGTTGGTGGAGTAAGGCTCTTGTTGATCACATCCTTAGTGGAGTGAGGCATTGACTGATGTTTCCCTAGGGCCTAGGGCTGTCACTGATTTGCTGACTCCAGAAGCTAGTTATTTGAGTGTGGCTGTTGGTGATTGGCTGATTTTCTGATTGTGCGTTCTGACCAGTTCTCTCTAACAGTGGTTACCTGTTCATGACTTGGGACTTTGGCCAGAGAAAGCCTTTCCCTTTCTTGAATATGAAAAATAAGTATTTTTAATTCTCAGTCTCTCCCTTTGGATTTCCCTCAGATAAGCCTACACGGAGAGTTGAGAGATCATATAGGTCTTTATTTCTGAAGGTATGATTTTTGGCTTGTGTTGCCATTTAAATGATTTAAACACCAGCTATTGTGGTGGAAAAGAGCTGTGACTATGAAAGTTTTGTAATTTATTGAAAAAAGCTGAATATAGAATATTTTGGGTGTTCTGACAAGGTCAGTTCAGGGCATAGGATAAAAATTGTTAAATTAAGGACTGTCCATATGTACAAGATGCCTGGCAACTCTAAACACACACCAAGATCTATTTAGGAATGAAAAAGAAATAATTTACTTGCACATTTCTGAGTGTCCTAAATGACTTCTTTGAGTTAGATAAAGGAATTAAAGGCAGCCGAGGCCTGTTGTTCCAAATCCTCACATGATTTGATAAAATAGAACACTCATTACTATCTGTTACACAAAAAAAAGGCCCACTTAGTTTAGTGAGCAAAGAAAGAAGTAATACTAATTGCTTTTCCTTTTGTTCTTTCTTCCTTGGTTTCTGGGCTGAAAAGTATTATGGTACAAACATTTTGCCCTAGAAACTTATATTAATAACAAATGATGATTCCTCTTAAAGCCCGAATTGACTGAGCCAAGGCTATTTAAGGGAAAATTGGAACAGTAAGGTAGAGTCTCAGGGTATTCTCCAACATACCAAATGTATGCCACCTGAAGCTGCTCTTTACAAACCCTTGGAACTTGATTATTACTAATATTCTTTGGTGTTCATGTCCTAGTATCTCATAGGGGTGGTGTAGCGTTTTCATGTTGCTTGGTTTTACTTACATAATAATGTTTGCGTACTTTTTCCCACCACAACCACCAGACTCCTAGTTCTATTTTAGATGAATTTTGTGAATGATGGTGGTATACATAATTCCTTCCAGAAGAACAACCAAAATGAACAATATGAAAAATCTTTTTCATCATTCCTGCAACTACAAGTTTTACTATTAGAGCAAACTAAAGAAGACATGTCCACATATAAAATATGACCCAGAATATCTTTGAGATCCTCACATTCCCCCAACCACCCTGCCCCCACATAAAGCAGTGAAGGTGGGAAATTCATTAATTTCTGCTTAGTTAGGAAGAATTATCAGTGTGCTGCAGAATGTCCTCCAGTTCATTCCAGCAATCATGTAATATGTTCTTAAGTCAGTTTCTGTGATGAATTTGATTCAAATTTAGTGTTTTTGAAATACTACATTGAGGATTTTTTTGGACCTCAGGCACTGATATATACTATGCTCCTCCAATTTCATACCACGCTATGATTAATGGTTCCATCCAGCCCCTTATTATTATACTTTTTCCCTTATTCCTGGTCCCCATTCCCATTTCCCTCTTCCATCCAATGATAACCATACC